AATGTTCTGCAAAGCTATTCGACCTAACGTTCCACTATTTGTGTGTACGCTGTACGATTCGACATTACGCTGAGCCATTTCACGCAACGCTACACTGTTTGTATGTACGCTGTACTGTACTCGTTATCACGAGTATGATCAGTTATTATTTGTCACCTGAGGGGGAAGGGGAGATATTTTTTGGGGAATCATATGGTTTACAGGGGGAACTGAGTGGGTATCAGTCGTCACCGAGAGAGTCAAAAGGGCTCGAGGGGGGGAGGAAGCTATTGAATTTTGAATGTTAATGACCGGTTACTTACATTGGTTCTCTTTCGCATTTCCTTTATTTTCTCATTTGTCTACTATATTTTCTCTTTAGATCGATATGCATCTTCTCTTTACTATTTTCGTTATATTTCCAATGGTACTGAAAAAAAAGAATTTGGTTAAATTCAAGGGTTGTTGAGTTGGTGATCATTCCTTCATTCTCGTGTCTAAGGAAGCCAAGGATTAACAACTAAGCTGGTTCGGTTAGCCGCTAATTATCACTTAAATATTCACTTATTTAAATTAGTCAGAATATTTAATTGAGACTAACACTTACGACATAAATACCTAACACGGGGATAACTATCACTTATACTTGTATGAAATTAAAAAAATAATAAATAAATAAAGCAAACAGGTAGACGAGTTTTGGAAATAAATGAATAAGTTAAAAGATTAATAAAAGTCAATGAATGAATATGAATTAAGCTCTATTTTCTCGCGTGTGGTGATGCGAATGCCGAGCGTGGGAGTTTGATAAAACTACAAGTGTTCAGCAATGAAGTCCTACGTCCAATAGAAGAGGGCGAAGTTTGCCCATCGTTTGTCTGACTTTCTTTTCCTTAATCTTAGGGAAAGAGAAAGCGAACACGAACTTGTTTTGGTACATTGTTACTTTATAACTTACATATCACGCGAAACGTGACCCTCGTGATCCACTTGTATCTTGTGAAAAAGCTGTGTTACGAAGGTTTGAGGTTATACACATGTAGGCTTGTACAGGGATGGATAAACATATGATCATTGATAAAAACGATGTTTTTTTTGTCAAAAAATCAACCAGCCTTGCTCATTTTGATTTGCTTCGAAGTTGTTTGGCTGATTAATGAGCTTCTTAAAATACCATTACTATGGACGAGATAGCGAAGGGTTTCGCAACCCTGCACGTCTACATAGCGCAAGAAGATAATATTTTTTCCCTCATTCCAGCGGTTGTTGTGTTCCGCCGCTTGGCACGTTCTGCTTTCCAGTTCGTTTACTTCTGTGGTTGTCGTAAGTCATGAGTAATATAGAATGGAAAACTAGAATGGGGAACGGGGAACGGGGAACGGAGAACGAGGAACGGGGAACGGGGAACGAGGAGCGGGGAAAGAGGAACGGGGAGTTTCTTTATTGCTCTATTCTATGGAAAACTGCAGAAAATCACCCAGTGTAATCTATCTGTCACCTTATTGAATGGGTCAAACAAATGTTAAACGACTTTATTGTCTAACCGATCGGAAGGTATGCTCCCTAGCCACAGGCAAAAGTCATCCTTTAGCAGGTCGTCGCGTAATTCAGACTTATTACGGCCATTCTTGTCACATGTCATGAGATCAGAGAGGTAAAAATAAACAAAAGCTTCAATTTCTATATTAATTAAATTATCAGTCAGCTCACGTTCTACCCTCCTTGTTGAACAGCTGTGCACAACTTACATAATGCCATTTTCCAATGCAAACGCCTTATTCCATTCTGAGTGTTCTCACCGGAAAACTTCAAGGAACTCGTGGACCCGTTTGAGGAAGTCCATTGAGATAAGGTAGGCTTTGAAGATTTTTTTATGTGAAAAACTGCTCTAAACTTTGCATCTATCATTTAGGGCAAATGATAAGGAGCGCCTTCTTTTTTCATTAGTTCTATGGATGTAAGATAAAACATTTTGGATAAGAAATTTTGTATTGCGGCTATTCCGTAGGGTAAATTTTATTTTCAACTGAGTTGAAACGTAAATTGACCACCGTGGATCCGTTTGAGGAAGTCCATTTTTTTTAATGCGAAAAATTGCTCTAAACTATGCATCGATCATTTAAGGAGCGCCTTCTTTTTTCATTGTTTCTATGGATGTACCCTAAATTCAGGGAAGACTGACAGCAAGGTAGATCTAAAATTTCGGCTAAGAAATTCAATATTGCGGCTATTCCGTCTATAATGCTAGGACCAGAAGCCCTCATTTATAACCCTTTAGATGTAAAAAGGGCGTAAGTTTTTAAAGAAACTGTGGTGCTGCGTCGGTGGGAGAGTATAACGAGGTAAATTTTATTTTCAACTGAGTTGGAAACGTAAATTGGCCGCCGGTAAGAGTTTTGCCATTCGCTCTGACGAAGGGCTAACGCTCGAAACGTCAGCTTTGAGACTCCTAACGGTGGCCAATTTACGTTGTCAACTCAGCTGATAATACCATTTACCTCTCGATGTAAGTTTGTCATTTATTCGAAAAATATTTTTCGAATAAATGTTTTCAAACTCCCGCATGCACCGATAGAGATGTGTTACGAGAATTCAGTGGTAACAAGATTTAGCCGGAGAGCATGCATGGACTGTTTATTGATCTTTCCACATATTTATATTCCATTCCCGACTTTTTGAGGAAAATAAAAGGGTTTGGATGGTTTAAAACCTTACTCAAGCGACAAGAAAGAGAAGGAAGTCTTTGATCTATTGCCGGCTTTAAAGAAATAATATTTGCAGATCAACGTCTTCCGTGACAGGAATAAATTACAGATGAAAAAAAAATATTCAGGTAGAGAATGTCAAGTTTTGACTCTTGCTTTTATGATAACCGTTTTGCGCCAAATTCGTTTGATATGTTTTTCTTTTTATGAGCTTTTGTACACTTTGTTAGGAAACATTTTTCTACGCCCACTTGCACTTATCAAGACGTGCTTCAATTGAAAAGCAAGAACGGACAATTTTTAACTCGTGAATTGCGCGCATGCGCAAGAGCGAGTTATAGATACGATTTTGGGGAATGGCATTCGTTCGCTCGCTCGCTCGCTCGCTCGATTGGTCGATTCCTGAAAACTTTTTTTAGATTTTAGGCTTTTGAGTGCATTTAATAGTTTTTGGCGTGCAATAAACAGACAAAATGGCGACCTTTGTTGCTAAGAATAGTGGTGGGGTGAAAAAGAAGCCAATGATAATCTTAAAAGAGTTTTTTTTTTCGTTTTAGTTTCAACAAGCGGCGCCAGCGACTGGCAGGCATGCAAGGATTCACACTGAAATAACAGAACAACCTTCGTTTTTCATAAAATTGTAATTTACAATCCTTGAACTTGAAAACAATCCGAAGATTCATTGAAAATATCACTTACTGCGAAGCGCTCGGAGTTTACAGATGTTCAAAAGCTTTTTCTGTTATGGCATGAGATTGAGGACAAAATTGATCATTACGTTTCGTCGCGTGTGTTTTTTCCTGTGTGAAGCAACAAAAGATGCCGGCGACTGACGAAATAACAAGTTAACACGAAAATCAAATAACACCTAAACAAACAATTTTAGCTACCGATTTTCAGTGAATTTTTAACGAACAATTTTCTTTTAAGTTTCAAGACAATTTGAAGATTCAACATACATACAACGTACTAAAATGCGAAAGTTACACACCAAAAAATTGATAAATAGGCCTGAAATGAAATTCTATCTTGTTATTGATGATACGTTGCCTAGCACGTGACTTAAATCTACCCAGGCGGAGATCCAAAATGACGGTGGCAGGCTTGGCTTAGTTATATCACTCAAAACTCGTTCCCGTTTGTCTCATTTGATAAAGAGGGAATCGTTAATGTTTTCATTAAGACAGTATTGCCTTGATTTTCTAATATTTACAACGAAAGACAGTAAATTTCACTTTTCACCCACATTTACTTCCAACCTTTTCTTTTGAACCAGAAACAAAAATGATAGACGTTTAAAACACATGACATCATCCACCTTGTCAAATGTAATAGCAGGATCATTTCAATTGTAATGCTTTCTTACCCCAACGTTACTTTGTTTCTTTGCTACATTAGCGAACACTGAACTACTGCTCATACTCTAGATATGACAATCAACCACAAAATTCCCTAAACCAGATAACATTAAACATAATCTAAAAAATCATGTGTCAATTCACGAGTTTGCTCACAGAGCACTTTGATTCTTTTCATTTCCATTTTATCAATAACTTTCAATTAATGGAAACGAGAGGGAAGAATGAAAAAAGTCATATTTTTAAACAAATTTTAAAAAGTAGCAGAGGAAGGAGAACAAATCTAAAAACGAACAGTCGAACAACGAAAAAATCTAAACGAACAGTCTAAATCGTTAATTGACGTGATCCTGGTTAATAATCAACACCGAATTGTTCATAGCGACGTTGTGGCCCTTCCGTAATATGGAAATTTTATGACAGGCGTCGCTAGGACGAAGCAATGCATATTTCTATTCCCTGAAATTCTAAAGACGTAAAATGTGATAAATAAATGCTGTTGACGCAATGTGATTTTAACGCTTCACTCCAACTGTATATGTTCATTAAACCTTTTTTATCAAGCCGAAATACACTGGATAAAATGATATTGCAATTCTGATTCAACGATAGAGGCACTCTGAACCTTTTTCCTAATTTACAGTCCGTTGGGTCGTGTAAATGTCGGTCAGGTCGCGTAAATAAAATAGAAGGCCAAAAATGAATGAAGATGTATGACGACACAAGAGAATATCAACTGTTGATATTCTCTTGGAAGATATAAATAAAGAAATAATAAGTAAATAAATGGATAAACGAACAGAAAGAATTTGTTATACCATAAACGCTTGGAGCGAGTAAGAGACTTTTCTATTTTCCCTTTCTATCTTGTTAACTTTTTTAGAAATTTATTCGATTTTCCTTCTCTATTTCTCTGGTTCTTTATTAAATTTTTTTATTCGTTATTTTTCTAGACAAGATGTCAGACCTGAAGCTACCAAATCGAAGCTTAGCTGCTGTTATAACTGAGGCAGGCATCTGCCTTACACTGAACATCACAAGCATCATTGGAAACAGTCTGGTTTGTATAGCAGCATACAGAAACCCAAACCTGCGATCAACCACCAACCTGTATATCATTGCTTTAGCAGTCAGCGATTTGTTGTGCGCAACAATTGAAATGCCTTTAGCTTCTTCAACGCTTGTTATTGGTAGATGGGACTTTGGCGACGTCGTATGCGAAATTCAAGGCTTTGTTGATGTATTCACCACATACGCGACCCCAGCAACCCTTGGTTTGACAGCAGTCAACCGCTATGTGAAAATTGTGAAGACGGCGAAACATAAGAAATATTTTTCGCCCCTCAGATCCAAAATTTGGTTGTTTTGCGTTTGGACTTTTCTTGTGCTTTACCTTTTGACTGGTCGAACGACAAATTTTCTCAGTTTTGAATTCGTACCTGGCTTTGACGTGTGCGCCCTCGGTTTCGCAAATCAGAGGGTTCGAGTCGTTCATTTTTGCATAACATTCGCATTGTTTTTCATTGTACCGCTATGCAGTGGTATATTCAGCTACTACAAGGTATTATCCACTACCCATCAACATCAATTGAACACAGCTCCATCGCTCGGCGACAGGACTAATTGTGGAGGAAGAAGTTCATTGAAGGAGATACACGCTACTCGAGTCTTGTTGTACGTGGCCGCTGGATTTTTGTGTTGCTGGATACCAATGTGGGCATTCATCCTTTGGAAGCGTTTCTCTCCAGAAACCTGTCCTAGAAGAGCAGCAATTCTCGTCACGTTTTTCCTTTTTCTGAGCGCTACAATAAATCCTTTTATTTACGCTTTCACAAATTGTGGGTTCCAAACCGAATTTCGCAAACTTCTGTGCTGTGGTCACACATCAAACGAAGTTGTCGCGGCTAATGTCAACGAAGCGATCGGAGAGGTGGAGGACGAAGCGAATGTGTAATACTTAAACAGACGGCAAGACCATTGATTTTTCATTTGTACTGTAAATAAGCTTCAGTTTGAGTTCAATTCTTTTTTCCCCTTTTTCCTTTGGATAACCACCTTGTCGCCGTAGTTTTATCGTCAAGTGATTAAGATAATGTTGATACGAGGGAAGTGAAAGTTTTCGTTCAAATTACCACGAAACATGTTATAAAATGTACCGAAAAACTCTTCTCCTTGCGTGAAACCTATTGTTTAATCGTCTAATGGTCTCGACGTAATTGAAAATTAGCCATAAATGGCTAGGAAAAAATGAATGTACAATCTGTTTTCATACTTTTTTTGGCGTATTAAATAAACAAATTACGACATCTGAAAATATATCTGAAAATATACCTCCTCAAAGCAGAGAAGTCGTGGTCAGTTGTTGTCTGTCATCCAAATATTGATGTCAAGGATACACGTTGGAAGGACATATTTAAAATGATGACATATCATGACGCTCAGGGAATAATCGAAATACCTTTAACTTCTTTAACATTAACGCTGATCGTTGGAAAACTTTAGTTTTCGACGCGTGTGTGCCTAGGTAAAATAAAAATACAAATATAGCGAGATAATGTGACGCCTACAGCTGATATGTTCGATCAAGGTAATAAATTTTAAATTTAGAAAGACTCATCGTAACTAGCTTTCCACGTGATCTGTCACTCTCCAGAACGCGCCGTCAGAAGTTACTTTGAACTGATAATTAGTCAGAACTATTTTCCTTTTGACCGACTGCTCAAAGATAATAAATAGTTGGCTTCGTGATGCAAACACCTTGCTAGACTATGAGCGATATCGCCGTAGCTTTTTAGCGAAACTGAGGATCTATTTAGGAAAGTTCTTGAAAGTGAGGTATGTTGAGACAGTTATTTATTTACCAAGCTCCTTCGTTGGTTGTTACAACAAACAAAAACATCAGCTTTAGAAACTTTTTACGGTGGCCAATGCACATTACCAATTCAAACTTTTAGTTTTCGATGCGTTTGTATGAGCAAAAGGAAACTTGAAAGTATATGCCCTTAGGTGGGATAATAACTATGGTGATTGAACCATTCGATTCCTGCAAGTCTCGTGTAAAGTGCAAAAATAACAAAAGCTATGTTTCTAAAAATAAGCTATGTCTACACTGATGTGCAAAATCAAACGATTGCCATGTTACTGTTATTCATTGAAGCTTATGCCACTTAAACCGAATGCTGTTCTCTCTCTCGTTTCCCTTTTGTTTGATATACCTTTGAATTTTGGGTCAAAAAAAATTTCAATTACGTTGAAAAAAAAAAAAAAAAAAGGTAAAGCTTATGTATCTTACGAACAGCAAAATCACTATGCCTAGACAGCCTGCATTTGCGTCACAAAAACTATCTAAATAATTCTTATTAAGACCCTCGAAAAATTTTGACCCGAAAATTGTATTTCAGCAGCGTGTCTTCAATTTCCAGGATTTTGATTCAAAGCGGAAATCTGCTGAAATAAATGAAAAATATCCATTTCTCATCTTCTTTGGAGCGACCGATGGAAACTTCACGGAGAAATACAGCGTCACGCCATCTTGATAACGTACATGTTTATGACAAATGACCGGTGTGAGGATAGTTTCTTGTAGATCAGCCGACTTCAACATGTTTCAAATGACATACAAGAATAACGGTGTATCTTCAGAGGATTTCGGATTGCTCAAATTGCCATGAAAGAAGGTGCAGTACTCGGAATCTGGATGATATGCACCCGATTTGAGGCATATGTTTGTATTTACGTCGAGTTGTCCTCCATGAAGGCTGATCGATTTTTCTTAAAAGATGACAACCAGAGGCGAGATTTCTCTTCGGGATATTGCTCATAAGATAACATTCGTTCAAAGCCTCGCACGTTTCATTTGTCTGAAACATTTGTTGTTGAGAACATTAGATGTAAACATCGCCAAATTATCCAATATCTGATTGTGAGCTTTTTTCGCGAATTGCCCCTATAAAAAGGAGAGGCAGACCCGCAGAGATTTTTACATATTTAAAAACTAGAATATTTTAACCAGCTAGGTGGGTAGTTTCAGTTCCAGAATCGGTGTACTTTTGGAGAAATTCAGATAAACGTTTTGTCTGTTTTACCCGACAACAAAAATGACCAAAACTGTACCGAGATAAATAATCTATTAGTGTGTTCACATTCACTCCCAGGGAAAATTAAATGTATCAAAGTGAAGACGAATGATGTCACTATGTATGGTAGAAGTGCCAATCTGTAATGTTGTATTTAGCTTGAGATAGAGAAATAAACATTTCACTCTTTTTTTGCGAGGTTTTTTTTTTTAAATGAGGCCCTAGGCCTCGAACAAGCAGCCGTTGTTGCAATGGCAACAAGAGTGCTGCAACCTTTAAAAAGGGCATTTTTGTGCATCCCCCCTGAGCGCCTAACTGCATCCAAAATTGAAGGGGGGTTGAAAATTTTCATTTCCCAAGATGTCTGATTATTACAGAGACTTATTCTTAAAATCATTACGGTGGCCAATTTACGTTTTCAACCCAGTTGTTAACACTGAATTACCTGCTATACTCTCCCACCGACGCAGCACCAAAGTTTCCTTAGAAACTTACCCCTTTATTTATTTATTTACGCTTTTCTACTTGTTGTTTACCAGTCGACGAGAACAGAAAAACTCTCATTACCACAAACTGAAACCTATCATCGTGGTAGATGTTAAATTCTAACACTCGTTGTTCTGTTGTCTCTTTCTTTATTCTCTCTTACTACACAAGTTAATACAACAGGGACTAGCTCTCATCTCTCAAGGAAAGTGTGGGGTCACCGCTTATAAAGGTGACGCTTATTGAGCTGTAAATCTCTAGTCTTCGTCATCCTTTTACACTTAATCAACGAATCACGCTAAGCTACGCAGAGCGGAGTTCGCATACCAAGTAGGTACCTTCGCGATGTTTACGCTTTACAAAATGACTTTCTAACTTAAATTTCTTAGTCTTACGGTCAGTTCCGGCCAAAACGAAAACAAGATTGACATTACAAAAGTTGTAATAAACTTATCAACAGAATTAAAATCATACTTCAAAATACATCTTAAGAGAAAATAGTCTTTGAAGACTGTTATATAACGACAAAATAAACAGAACATTTGGAGAAGATAGGGCGTACCCAAGGTACTGCCCCTAAAAGAGCTACTTACTATTTGTATAAATTACTTGATTATAAATTCAGTGCAGAAGATGAAAAGTACTTCATGTTTACAACTTAAGTCGTTTCTAAGAAAAAGAGGTGTCGAACATGCTAAATTAAAATTTAAGAACTATTTTCCTGATCAGGAACTCGGCATGGATTTAGCCTAAAACAAGAATATTAAAGAGGTAAAAGTATAAAGGAGGTTTATTTCTAGGAAATTCCTGCACGGGATTAATTTTTATAAGGTAGAGTCGTTTTCTTAGTGATTAATCATCTTTTAGCGACATAATGGAAATATACCGATATCTAGCCGCAAACCGCAGTTTACACAAAAACATCTGTCTTCTTGTCAAATTCACGATCATAATAAGGAAAAGGTGACCAAAACTCTACATGTAAGATAAGACCGCTAAAAGGAATAAGAAATGATCTACTGGCTTATTATAACGTTTATTGAATGGCCCACGCTAATATATTATTTCCAATCATTTTTCAACACTAATATAAGAAACCCTTACGATGTTTTAAGATTAGATACATTTCGATTTTTATCGTTTAAAAATTGTTAAAAATACTACATTACTATTGAACAGAAGTGGTGAAAAAAATTAAATTCAAATATTCCTTTTATGCTGTCACGGGCGTAAAAACTTGCGTCCAGCAGTGTGCGTGCTTGACGCACGTGCTGAACGCTTGAGAGCCTGCTCCTAATCTAACATGCTCTCATCCCAAGTTGCTGCTTGTTACATCAAAATATGTATCGTTTGCTGTCCAAGCTGAAACTACTCCACTAATTTATCTAACGCGTCAACAAATTCCAGAACATCAAACACCGTGTCCAATTTAAAATCTTTCCTCAGTGATGAATAGAAGAATTCTGGACTCTGAAATTAAAACAACGTGACTTGTCAGACCCATTGAGCTTGCGCACTGAACAAGGCAAGTCTTAGCAAGAGCAATGAACAAGAACTAAATGAAGTTTATGTTAAAAATCATTCGAGAACAAGAGAAAAATCGCCCATCAATTTTCCAGGATCAGGTTAGTTATGCAAATTTTAGGGTAAAAATGCATATGATGTACGAAAGAAGATTAAACAAAATCCTTTGATCTCCAAAATGATGATCTTAAAACAACATTTACCAGAAAAAAGTTTAAATCCCATCCAAAAAAGGCACAGTGCACATAATTTTAATGGAACATTTCTATAACGAGTGTTTCGACGACGAAATGGCGGTACAAAAACAAACATGGCTAACATGCCTGGTGTCTCTAACAACGCTAGAACAGTGATAGAACAAAAATAATGGCACCTGGTACTTTAGATTCATACTAAACCGTTTCAAACGGATTCAAGCTTTGCAGAATAGGGACACGATTTTTGATCAAGGTATTTTAGATCAGCGGATGTATGTGAAAGTTACGCGCGTGGGGAGAAGGGTCACCATTTCGCAGTGACTTGTGCTCGTGCCATTTTTAAAAATATGCACTCTTCTGTCTGCTTAGGAACACATAACCCCTACCTCTCTTCTAAGATCTTGCAGACGCAACAAAATCTGACCATTTAGCCTTTGTAAAGTGTTGGAATCCAACCTTAAAAGAAAATTGTTTCAAAAGTTAAAACGTTGATTTGCTTCATAGTGCCCCTTTACCACCGGTAGCAAAAATTGGCAAAAGCGAAGACAAATAAGAAAACCTCAGCCTCGTTCCAAGCTCCGAAGAACCAAAAGGAGAGAGCCTGGGAAGCAGGTCGCTGAAACCTGACGTAATACCTGGGGGCAGGTTGCAGTAGTATGCCATCCCATTTCATATTCCCAGGGAAGAGTAGCAATACTTAACATATCTTAACGCTTTCGGAATCGGGATAAGAATAATAAACACTGTGCTACTCACCTGTCTTTCAGTCCAACATTCTTGAGCCAGGTTTTCACATCACTACACGTCCACGATCTGATGGTAGACTGAGGAGAGGCGTTAACAACATCCATAACTGTGGCTACATAAAAAAGAAAAAGAAAAAAAAAAGATCAAAAAGGAGGAAAAGAGAGTAAATTAGTTTTCATCTTTAGGAGTTGAAATTGTCTGGGGATTTGAGGGATCATTACCAAAGATAACGAGTAATCATAAAATCGCAGATTTAGTCGAAAATAGTATTTCTTTGTTCCTGAATACATTCTTCTTCTTTTAATTTTTCTTTTTCATTCTTTCCTTCTGTGGTTTGCATGAAAATAGTAATCGAGACAAGAAAGGTTAAAGATGGTTAAATAAGGTCAGTCTCATTGTTATTAAATGAGCCCTGTAAATTGAGAAAGAGATGCAATACCTTTTTTGCAATACCACTCATTAGAAGCGGAGCACTCATAGGAGGAAGGTCACCGACTAAAATCACTACAGAAACATGAGGAATGTCGATAAAGAGCGGATGATCGGTAAATAACTTCACTATAAGGTATGAAAACCGAACTCACCAGTGCGCGGGAAAACATGCGCGGTGTGGTTACGATCATAACTCAAACGACCTGGTAAGGTAATTTTGGTTAAATCATACCTTTCACAGTATTTTCTTGAAGTTCAATTTTTCCCCTGGTCCCCAGTTCTTTCACAAGTTTGGTCATATTAGAGTTCAGTTTATTTTTTTCGCTGAAGTCAATCCAAAATTTGGATCCCACGATGAGGCCGAGCCAACCATCAGGTCTGTATTTACCATCCATCATCAGAGGGATAACGTCTTTGTGAAGCCGATATGCGTACTCTGCCTCTACATAGATCATTAATCGAAATACAACTTCGTCAAAAATCCCAGTAGAATTATTGTCTAGTTATACCTAGAGAATGTATTCAACGTGTTCAAATACCTTCAAAGGATTGGTAAAGTTGGAACCAATGGAGGAATAAAAGGGGTGAGACTTCATACTAGGGCTGGGTAATTAAGTCTTTTATTAGACGTCTGGTCTCATACTGTCAGCATGGAAACAGGATTTTCTATGCTGCATTGCACCCTTCCTTCTATCATTTGAACTCCAGATTTTTTCAATGCCCTAATATCAGTCTTTTAAACTGGTTTCGAACAATCACAGCTTAACAAGGAGTATTCAAGGGGAGTAGTGCATCCACCTCGCATTTCCTAGCTTCTTTCCATCGTTTTGATTATCTAAAATAAAAAAGAGTCGAAACCTAAGCTTTAGAAACGCTTTATGATGGAAAGCGTTGAAGGCGCTCACTGATTGGCTAATCAAATTCCGAATATCCTTTGTCATTCACCCTTGAGTAACGCACGTAAGATTTGTGCCCAGTAATATTGTAATAGTTGCAGGAATTGTTTTGCAAATACAGACTCATTACAAATTCTAAAAAGCCAGTAAAATGCTAAGATTTCTATAATCAACAACGCTATATCAAAAGATCTTGCTGGTGTTGCGAAGCAATTTTCATCATTACCTGATCTACAGTTAGGACTCTCCTTGTATTCCTGAGACACACAGAGTAACATCACACTTGCATTCTCCACAGCCTTGGCCATACTTTCCAGAGTAGAGCCACCCATTTCATCGATGTCCATCCAAACCTTGAAGCCGTCCGCCTGAAGTTTGTTTTTGATCTGAATCACGAGTTTTTGTACATCCCATTGGTAACTGATCATCACGTGCTTGGCGTCTGGAGAGTACATTAAAGAATAGTAACAATAATAAATTACGTCATGCCTTAATTGTGCTCTAAATTCACCTCTTTGATCCTAGAGTTATTTCTACTATATAAGGATTTCACAGCTTCCCTTCACCAGTGCTAATATGTGAGTAGCGCAGCCGGCGAGGGTCTGGATCTTCAAGGGGTCAAGCACCTCATCATCAGTGCCTGATTCCCTCTAACCTCTCTCTTACTCGTTTCAGATCTTCCCGCAGGCGCTTCCTGCAGCGCTGACGCTGAGGATCTACTTGCATGCTAGTTACAAAAGGGAGGAATTTGGTTATACAAGGTTGTTTTTGAATCTATGAACACCATCATTGTGGTAAACTTGTCATCCCAAGCTGCGCATGCTCACCGGATTCGATAACTGGCTGTTGTTTATCCTCTGTATGTTTTTCTTTCTCTTCGATTTCCCACAATGCGCCAGCAGCAGCGTTTTTCACTTCATTGTTAGTCGATGTCAGAAGTTTCCGTAATTCTGCTGAGGCATGCTCATCCTTTTTTATTTCTTTCCTGTTTTCCTCGTCGAACGCCAGCGTCCACAAAGTGTTACAGGCATTCACTCTCTCCTCGTCATCTTTGGCGTTTTCAAGCATATTGACCAGAATTGGAATGGCTCCAGATTTAACAATCTGACAGTAAAGTGATATTTATCGTATTCGGTATTCAAAAGTTTGAAGAAGTTGAAATTCATAGAACGTTGAAAGATTTCATATACACCAGCTCATCTCAGTCACGAACAAGGCCAAGTTAGAGGATTCTTACAGAAACGATCTGGTCAAACCCGGCCAAGTGAAAACCTGTAGATCCGATCAAAGAAAACCTAGCAGTGATTTCCAGATTTCCAGAATTTGATTTATCCTTTCCCATTTCGATTGAACGTCGTAAAATTAAAACCGAATAAATCAAGAAAGCCAAGTACAGTAAAGGAAGATATTTCAAGTATGTAAGTAAGATTCTTTATTCAAACATGATGAGAATGAAATCATTACATGTTTGAAGGGTCGTGTAAAAGAAGCCAATTAGAACTCAAGAAAAAGCCTATTCCTCATCCCCAGGGGCTGGAAAATGCAATTGGTCTTATTTTCTTCTTGTTTTTTTAACCCTTTTCACCCTAACATCAGGCAACATCAGTATCCATGTTCTTCACACTCTTCTCTGTACATTTCCTTTGGTACTGGAAAGGAGAATTTGTTTAACAATCAATTCATTTTAAGTTGGCGATCATTTTCTTTATTCTCGTGATCTTCATCGGAAAAATTCTGATCGTGAGGGGCTAAAGGGTTAAGGAATTTTTGCATGTAAAGCGGCCAAGAGGAGTTCAAGGGCATTTAAATGACGTGATCGCCGGTGAGGGTCTGGATTTGCAAGGGGTCGAGCATGGGAACTTTGTAGCATTGCCTTAAAATTTCTCACTCCTTTAACTACTCGCAAGCACTTTTCGATTGAGGGTGGTAAAACCAACGCCGAAGTTGTCACAAAGGAAAAATTGTAAACATTCTAATTAATAAGCCACTCAGACACTGAACACTACAAATTCCTCCAGGCAAAGATGTACGCCTCATTTTTATAACGATAATTCCAAAAATAACGATATCAAAGAATATAAATGATCAACTGCTAACAGTTACCGTTTTCTTGTTGTTGTCGTTGACTGCAATTTGTGTCAGTCCTTCAGCAAGTTCTCGAGCAGAAAATCCTAGATATCTATGGCAATCTGTTCTTATGGCCTTTCTCAGCAAGCGTATGAGAAAATTGATTGGTTCTGAAATGAGACTGTTAAAGCTGAGATGCAAAATTTAAAGTAATTAATCATCGTATACTGGACAGCCACTTCGTTTAATTTTCACGAACTTCTTCCAGGAATAAGACATAAAACTGGATTTAATTTGTTGCGAAAAAAATTCACACGCAGTCATCCGCGTTATAGGGAAAACCGAGTTTTCCATGGGGCAAAGTTTAAGGAAAACTTTGGGATTCAGGGAAAGGTAATATGATTTCCAAGACAAATTTGAGAGTCTTATTTTCCTTCAAATGGAAAATATAGTGTTGTCTTTCAAATGTTTGCTAGCACTCGAAAGAAAAAGGGCTTTTACTGACAGCCCACTCAAAAAAATTTCATACCTTCATCCGCCATGATCAGATGGTTATTTTGTTCATCAATCAGGTACGCCAATACAAGCAGGCTTTTAGCACTGTAAAACGTGATTTTACTATTAAGAAGTGGCAGAAGCAACAAGTTCACCGCCTGGGCAGAAGCAAAGTTTGTTCTTGTTGGTACGCGTCTCGAGAAATTGTGAAGATTCCCCAAGCTCCTAGACAACATTTTTCCCCGCACTGTGAACTTCTTTAGATGTCGTGTTTCAGGTTCCTGTTAAAAAAAATTGGAAGCACTGGTAAATACATAATTCCATGTAGCAGGATTTAACCTCTAAGTGTGCCTTGCTCTCAACATATGGCTCCGTAGCTCAGTTAGTAGTAGGCAACAAGAGGCATAAGTTCGAATGCCGTCGAAGCCTGAATTTTTCTAGTCTCCCTTGCGAGGATCATTGCTTTACTAGATCGACTTACCGCTGACAAAAGAGTTACAAAGGCTTCGATTATGTTGATAAAGGCAGGGCGACTACTTTTATAAGCTTGATCTCTGTATTTCTCGGATCCGATCCTCGATCCGTCAGATAAGGAATTTTGGTAGAAAAGCCCGGACTCATTTTCCGAACAATGGCTGGCAATCGAGCGTACTGCTGTTACGCTGGTATCTTAAAAAAAAAGACTAATCTGGTTAAGGACCGAGAGCGTCAGTTGGTACACTGAATATTCCGTCTCATCGTAAGAACCCGGATAAGCCTTAACTCTCTCTTAATCAAGATCTCCCTCCCAAGTGAGTCCCAGTCCTACCCCTCCCTCCTATTACCCATTTATCAACAACTCAGAGAGAGCCTTCTTTATTGCTATTCGCTTAGGGTTGATACCGGAAGTACAAATATACTTGCCCAGGTATTCAAAAGCCTATAGTAGTTTTATAGAAGTTTTCAACAGGAAAAGTGCTCTTTGTAATTCAGGATTAATTGATTCATAGTGACGAAGGAAAATTTTTACTGGCATTTCTCCTTCAATGTGGGTTGGATAAGATAATACCTACATTGACATTGTATTTTACTACAGTAACTGTACTTACTACATATTTCACATTGTGTGGAATCGAATCTTGGAGTTCTTGGGACATTTCTACAAAAAGCTGAACCATTCCAACTTCATTACACTCCAAGCAAAACTCGTCATGTAGGTCAGAATAATTCAGAAGGGCTCCTAGAAACAGGCAGATATTATCTTGCGATAATTCTAGCGAGTTCGATGTCTTCATGTTGTCTTTTTCAAGTTCCTAGAAAATGATAAGAAAGTTAGTAGTTATAGAAATCGGGTTCTGGCGCATTTTGAAAACAACCTTCATTTCAAGGCAACTCATGAATTTCACCTTGATTTCAAGGCATGCACAACTCGAATTTTTCACAATGTCTCACTCGCGAGTTCTGAAGAGGGTGTGAAAATTATCATCCTGAACGATGGGTGTGGATTCATTTTTTTAAATCAACGATATCCTTCAGGAGGTAGCTCAGTTCCGAAGGAACAATCTAAGGCTCTTCTCGGACGAAACCACGCTTTGGTCCACCTTCAGATGGTACAGAACAGGCTCGCCTTTATTCACAAGCAATTTTTCGATATTGTAGACCTTTAGAGACCAGATTGGATCTGTGGATCTTCTTTGACCACCTTCCAGCTCATCAGTGGTATAGAGATATCTTACATTCTTTGAAGATTCGAGCCTCTCTTCTTTCAGGCCAACTGGTCTTGAATAAGTCGTTGAACTCTTTGCGTCAACCACCTTCTCTTTGATTGAATCTATAGGTTTCTTTCCAGTCAATCTTGTCTCTTCACTCTTCAAAGCAAGTACAACTTCTGTAAGCCTCTTTACCCATTATGTTGATCTCTTTACCTCTTTGAATGTCATCTCTTTACTGTATTGGAAGGTGAAAAGGCGTTCACCCAAAGTTCGATTGAATCGCCCGACGATTCCCTGATCCCAGTGAACATTTATATTCCCTCTTCTTATCCTCACATTATGATTTGCCATTTCCCTCTTTAAATCACCCATGAATTCACACCCAGAATCAACCTGAAGAACTTTTGGCCATCTCAGTGGTCCACGCTTTTAGGTTTTCCGAAAAGCCTTTGAGACCTCAGATGAATCCTTTGAGGTTAGAGGTTCAGCAGCCTGGAATCTGCTTGCAACTTCAACAACTGTCAATACGTACTTGTAAACTTTCTTACCTCTCGGTAGTCCGTCATGAGGAAGGAAAAGAACTGCATTTGGAGATTCAACATCAAATGTTGGTCTCGGAATGTGTAGTACACCGCGAAAAGTCAAAACCGTTTATTTACGTCCGTTACATACTTACACTTAACCGAAAGGAACTCTCTGAATAAATTAAATACACGCTTAATACATACATGCAAATCCGTAGGTCCCGAGTGTGTTACATAACTTGCATTCATTTCCACTTGTGGGCAACACTGTACACTACAGGGTATGCTTCGGGCCAGGCAAATAAATCTACCAGATGGCTTGCCTCATCAGCTAAGGCTTTGCAATGTCCTCAGAAACTCCGGCTTCTTGAGCCAACTTCTTCACAGCTGGCAAATCCTTCCAAAGCCTTTAGGGCTGTGGTAGATTCTTGAAAGTTTTCTTTTATTTTGTGTTCAAAAGAAACGACTGGCGACCAACACTAAAGCTGAAGCCATTCCTCCGACGTGGATCATTTCACCTTGCTTTTGTTGAACACTTGGCTTTTAGAAGTCGGAAAGTTTTGGTTCCCTAAGGTCAAGCTCTTGATTATGCACCTTGTTTAGAGATTTAAAGCATAATCTGAGTCCACAAAAGTCTGTTTTGCCTGCTCCTTAACTCTGTCATCAGTTGCGATCCAATAGAGGAGCTTTGTTTGATTTTCTTGATAATTTTCATAGGCCGTGGTACTTCTCCACAGCGAGATCATGCCTGTTCTTCTCTTCTTCAGCACTATTCTGGTCCCCACTCAAATACTTGCGAGATGGCTTCCACCAACAAAGGCAGTCGCATTGATGAGCACTCCTCCATTCATTTTCGCTATGCTTGCCATTTTATTTATCTTCATCATCATTTTCGAAAATCGACGACAAGCATTCAACGAAGTTCTGCCTCTTCAAGGCCTGGGTCCTTCGGATCCTCTTTTATATCACTGACATAGAATATTAAAACGTTCTAAATAAATACGCAGAAAGCTGCTAACTTAACTGAATCCATTGTGAATCGGCTGAAAATTTTTAAGATGGTAAAATCTTTTGATCTTCAGGATACTGTTTTGTCTCGATTGATGCAGCGATCACGACGGTGAACTTCACATAGTTCATCAGATTTGAACTCGGATCAGAAGTCATTGGTTCCTTGATAAATTTCTTTGCAACCCATCCAATTTCGGCAGCCAATCCAGTCAATGTAGCTGAGTCGGTCAATGTTTTCACAAGCTTATTATCAGACATTTTATTTCGACAAACAAAGAAACAGATCAATCCATTACATTTATTCTTACGGGAAGCCCTGAAGGGGTCAGCCTCGAAGAGGTAATCTGCGATTGTGTGTTTTGTTGCGTTTCACTTCGCTGTGCTGGTTTTGGTTTACTAACGAGCGCCAACAACTCTTTTCTTTTATAGTACACTCCAGCCAGTGAGAGAACGACTCTTGCCGATGAAAGAATTTGAGTGAGTGAGAATGATAATGGTTCTGGTTGTAATTCTGATCCAGCCCCCTCAGTGTTTGCTCCCTCGAGGTCTGGATCTTTGGATTGCTTTGAATCTCCTTCCTTCTTCTTCTTTCCTCTCTCCCTCTCCTGTTGTATTCAGCAAGCTTTTTGCGAGCTGCGACACGCCCTGGGTCTTTGTTTGGTTTCGTCTTATTTTTATCATTCGAAGTCACTTGTTGAGCCTCTACAAGGCCCTGCCCTTCAGGGCTAGCCGGTGCCTCTACAATCTTAGATTCTTTATCATTTATTTTATTTGTTGATATATAATTTTAAGCACTTACGCAAGTTCTTATTCAAGTTCTTCATCAGAGTCAAAGATAATATCAAAATATTCAGTTTCCTTATCAGTGATCAAGAGTACTTCAACATTTTTAGCAGTAGAAGAGCAGCACTTGCGATTGCCATGTACCTTTTTATGCTTAATACTCAATCCACCGGCAATCATTCCGAGTTCTCCCTTTACCACGAAGTTATAATTCATGTCCTGAAGAAGTTTTCCTTCATCAACAGAGAGAAAATGAGCCAATGCTTTAAACGAGAGCGGAAGAAATGTATCAACCACTCCATCAGAAGACAAATTGAGGGACCACTGTTTCCTTAACCGTGAATATCTTTTGAGTCCGAGCCGTTTTGCCTCAGCTCTTAATTCTGAAACTTTTTTTGTTCTCCATTTTTTAATTACATAGAAAATAAATTAAATTTTGTACACATTATTAAAATGGAAACAAATTTAGTTCCAATAAGCGCAAAAGAATTCAGAGAAGTTGCTAAAGGCTGTGGAATAAAATACAGAAACAAGATTCCAAGAAAAAATAAAAAGGGATGCTTGGCTATTGTCCTTTGGACAAGAGACGGAAGGTCGAAGTAAACGATGAACCGGGGTTTTGCAAAACATATGACACAATAATGGAGGCGGTAAAAGACTGTGAAATATCAAATTATTCCGTTATTAAATATGCCATTGATCATAAGAGACCCTTCATCGAGAGGAGATCGGATAAAACAAAATTCTGGGTGAGAGAAATTATAAAATAGATACCAAAAAATGCTCATTAATGAAGAAAGGTGTAAAACCTTTGAGGATATTTTCGATGAGAAATTTCCTAATATCAGACCCTTCGTGGCTTATGAATCATCAGACTGGATTTTTGCTTGAATTAGATGGTTTTTGTGATACACTGAGATTAGCTTTTGAATACAAAGGGATTCAACATAATGAATATCCCGACCCATTTCATTGAACATACAGGCAATTCGAGAGCCAGAGGAGTAGAGATGAGATGAAGAATTACAAGTGTAAAACAAAAAGGAGTGACTCTTATAAGAATAAAATATGACGTTCAGAATCTTAAGGAACACATAAAGCATGAACTGAGAAAGAAAAAAAATTTTCAAAACATCTTGAAAAAAGTTTTAGTCAAGGTGTGTGATCTCATTAATAGGCCACGCTTTCAAGCTCTATGTTGATGAGAGCCCTCTCTGTTGATGATATCGAGCTTTTTTGAGATATTGATGACTTGTTTTGATAAACATCGCTGACCTTATTCTCCTTGTCAACTCCTGATTTCTTCTTATCTTCAGCATTGCATCTGATCTTCGAAAGGTCAACAGACTGAATACCTTCTCTGAACATGCTCGCCCTCTCATTCTCAGTCAAGAAGAGGGGATCATGTTTACTGTAGGTACTCTCGACCGACTGTCGGCCAACTGTCGATCGACGGTCGATCGATACTCGATCGATACTCGGTCGACCATCGATCGATATATCGGTCGATATGTATGTCAGCCGATATAGCTTTTAGTTCAATGATACTTGATCAACACTCGGTCATGGTCGACATTCAGTCCATAGTCAGATACTTGACCGATGTAACACTCAATAATCGGTCAACATAGCTCGCAGCTTCGTCGTTTGCATGTCACGCTTGCACTTGCGCTCACACGCTAACTTGTTTTGCGTTCTTCTCCACGGATTTTCTAGCAAAAGAAAGACTGCTTGCAATCTAGCCTCACACCGAAACAATTTCCACCATCGCATAATAGCATCTATTGATGACATCATCGCTTAAAAAGAAAGCCATTGGACTGCAAAACCAACACATTTGATCGATACTAAACACTGATATTCGACCGACAGCTGACTGATATACCACCGACAGTTGAGTGGTTCATCACCGACAGTTGACCGATACACTACCGAGATGTGACCGACTCTCGACCGATACAGCCGGCGATATATCGACCGACACTCGGGCCATAGTTGGTCTCTATATCGACCGACTGTCGACCGCCTATCGGTCAACTGTCGACCGACTGTCGAATGACTGTCGATAAAGTATCGACCGACTCTCGACCTACACATCGACCGCAATATTGGTCGCGAGTACCTACAGTAAACATGATCCAGAAGAGGTTCTCATAGGGCTTGAATAGATCATAACCATCAGTGTCCTGCACGACTTCTCTGGCGTTCACTTTCAACCTGTCAAAAAGAGCTCTTGAGACATTGTTTACGAGATAATTGCCTGCT